GGACTTCTCAAGCGATGACGAAGATGCGGCTGTAGCCATTTCTTGCTCGAAGTCCAGTGCAACGTAACACAGCTTTTCTTTGATGTCACGGACGATCTCACGTTCGGCCGTGGTTGTGAACGAGTAACCTCGTTCGGTGAGAATTTTCATCAGATAATCTGTCAAATCTCGGCCCGCCAAATCCAAACGCAAAATTGCGTGTGGCAGTGCATAACCTAAATAGCACTCAAGCGTGGCCGAGCAATGAAAGGAGTAGTATTCAAGTGTACATAAGGAGCCATACACAAAAAAAAGATGACTTATGGGAGCAGGAAGCTAGTACTATAAAAATATAATATTCCCCTCACTGGAGTACTATATGTTTCCGCAGCCCCCTAAGGTAAACATGTGAGCGGGTGGTTTTTGTGAGAAAGTGTGCTGGCGAAATTAGAAGTGTGGAAAAAATGATGAACAAATATACCATGATCTGCTACGCACAAAACGGACTAGCGCGTGGAAATTGGAAACAATGGTACCGAAATAATACCATATTTCGAGCTCCTACGTATATGCAAGTTCGGTCTATGTTTACGGCTAAGGGATGGAACACAGAGTGCATTTTAACGTGTCTTCATATACATGAAACTTAAGTCCAATCCCTCTATTCTACTATTTAACTCCGTAGGGAGTGCAACCCAAAAGCACATACTGCGTGACAAGTCAAAGCACCACTTGAGTGTGATTTTTCCACATAAGAATCCAGGCTTACACAAACTGCATTTCTCATGGAAATCGGTCGCAAAGCCAAGGCGGTAAAAATGCAAGTGCGTACGTACTCACCATATGCAGATGCATACGTATCGGACATATATGATCCGGAATTCTCGAGAGTTAAGAAAGTTTATGGTACCTTCGTAGATTGGTACAGTGTGTGTGACACCGTCGCCGGAGTCGAGGACAATGCCGGTTGTGCGACCAGAAGCGTAGAGGGAGAGAACGGCCTGGATGGCGACGTACATAGCCGGGGTGTTGAACGTCTCGAACATGATCTGGGTCATCTTT